CAAATAAAAATACCAACTCGGTTTTAACAAGGCTCGAAAAAAAAAAATATTTAAAAAAAAAAAAATCAAGTGAAGCCTCATGAATATATGCCCAGGGCTAGCTGGAGTGAGCCGTTTAAAGATGAAAGTGCAAAGAAATAAAGGCTCAATTTAATCTGCCTTAAAACCCTTCAACTTAACGTTTGTGCTGGGAACTCAGAGAGTGAGTACTGATTGGGGATAAATACATTTCTTAGCATGCCTTGGAGCTATTACACCCTTCTCCAACACAGCTCCCTATTCAACAGCCACAGTTTTCATTACCAGCTCTAATAAGTCTTAACATTATTAAATGCCAAGCAGACGATAGAAAGAAACAGGCGCAGGGTGGAAGCTTTCTTTAACACTTAAAAAGAGAGAGCATTTAGGGCTGTCTTCCTCCGGCTCCCTGCGAGGAGAACCCGCAATGAAACGTTTGTCAAGAGGAAAAAGGCCAAAACAAAGTTTTCCCCCTCTCCCCCCCAGCAGCAAGAATCAGAAAAATGCGTTTAAAAGCATAAATTCAACCCAAACTCTCCCCCACGCCCGAGAAGAAGTGTGAGGAGCGAGATGTATTTTTATTTTATGGCAAACCATCCCCCCAAAAAAATGACTAACGTGAAGAGCTAAACATCCCGAAAGAAATTGTCATTTTGTTCTCTCAAAATATCCCTATTTTCGAGCGGAATAAATGAAATATACAGCGCGCACCCCCCGCCTCGGAATGTTTACAAGCTGAACCATCAATTATCTTAATTAGGGCTATTAAAACTTTGCCAGGCGTTAAAATATACATTGACGGCACTAAAAAGTTGCATTTTTAATGGTTATTTTCCAGCCGCTCAGCGTTGGGATGCGCCGGGACCAAACCGCACCCGCGGTTGATGCTCCCCCAGCGAAAAAATAAAAAAATCCCTAAATTAAAGCATTTTTGGGGAGATTTTCCCGCAATTTACAGAGGCAGAGAGCGAATGCGGAGGGGAAAAAAATGAAAATTGGTGCTAAATTAGGTTTTGTCTCAAGGGAAGGGAGAAGCAGCGGAGCCTGCGCTCGGAGGTACCGCAGCTCTCCGCGGGCTGCGGCCCCAGAAATTTGCCCAAATTAGTTCTCTTTCATCCAGAAATTTGCGCTCGTGTAGTATTTGTCCGCGATATCACCCATGAAGGAAGAAGAGAGCGTTTTGTTTCGCTTCTTGACACGCACTTCTGCGTGTTAATCAGCGCTAAAAAGCTTCCAGTTCTAACCCTCTTTTATTTTGATTATTAGGATTTTATTTCGGGGGTAGCGAGGAGCAAAACCCGCTCGGTCAAAGGCGAGAAAAAGAAATCAATCCGCACTTTAAAAAATGATGGCGATTTTTTGCCAAGCACGAGGTTCGCTTAAAATCAAATTTCACCCCGCAAAATCTTCTTTTCCCCCCCGTAATAAAATTAAAAACACCCCAAAGTGATCGGGGGGAGCTTTTGATAGACACAATAGCTGCGATTTGCAAATGAGCATCGCCTCTTTCCAAATCACAAGCAACATTTTGCCACGTCCAACGGCTCTGCCTTTTTCCAACAGACGGTCCTATAATATTACAAAACTATCTAACAGCAGGGAGTTTTGAATAATTTATCTCCCTTTCTTCCCTTCCTTGGCCCTTTGTCCAAACTTTTTCTCCTCCTTGCAGAATTTTGAATGAGAATAGACAAGCCCTCCCTCCCCCATCCCTTTACTCCATTTTTAAGGCAGCCTCGGGTTTTCCCCCCTTTCCCCTCCCTTTTTTTTTTCCCTTTTTCTTTCTCTTTTTTTTTTTTTTTTTTTTTCCTTCCACTGTTTGCTTTTGTGGTCAGGAATCTTTTACTTATAAAGCTTCAATAGACTTGAAGGTCTTTGTAAGTGAAGTTCATCTTCAAGGTTGGGAAAAAAAAAAAAAAAGGATCGGATCCTTAAAAAAAAAAAAATCAACCCCTTTTTTGCACCTTCATTTAAAACCTCCACAAACGTTTGATGGTGACACGGAGAAGCTTTTTTCCTGCCCCAAATTCCCTCCACGTTAATATTGCCTCATTCACCCATATTGACCCGAAATGGGGAAAACTTTGGAGCTAATGGAAAACTTTGGAGGCGATTTCTCTCTGCTTCCCACCCCAGGATTGAGAATCTCATCCTGCTCTCTCCTGGCTGACACCGACGGTATCAAATCCCCAAAATTCCAAGCGGTTTAACCCAGCTCCGTTATCAATTTGGGAGCAAAATAGCCACCTCTAATTTTCCAAAGCTCAATTCCAAGACTTCTAGAATTGTTGTTTCTCAACCCCCCCCCCCCCCCCCCCAAAATAAAAAAGCACTGAGCGCTGCGACACAAGGAAATCACTTTGTGCAGCTCCTCCCTCCCCGTGCTGCAACTTCCCTGGCTGTGCAAACGTCTTCAGTCATAAACCTCATTATGCCCTTTAAAAACGCCGCTTTTCCCCCATTTTTTGGGTCCCCCATTTTTTGGGGAAAAAAACCTTGCCAAAAATGCAATTCCAACTGCCGCAGTGCCGTCAGCGGCTGTTCCTCACCCCCAATCCCACATTTACAGCCCAGCAGCTTTAAAAAGTTGAATTTTTCATCCCACCAAAGGCAAACGCTGAGCACGGGAGGTGCTAAGAGGGCTCCACCGCCAGGCTTGCCTGAAGCTTGCCATCAGAAAGGCCAGATTTATTTTTTTCTGGGTTTATTTAGGGGTGCAGCGCCCTTGTTTTGTCAGATTCAAGGATCTCCCATCTCCCTTCCACGCTTCCCAGCCGCGGTGGTTGTGCGGCAACGCCGATCCCGACTTCTCTAATTGATATTGATTGGCCAAATCGGTCAACTGTCAGGCAGAGTTTCAGGGGACCACTTAGAGAGCAGGAGAGAAATCTGTTTAACAAATTCATTTAGGAATCAGAGATGCCTTCCCCGCAGCCATCTCCTTTCCCTCTTCATATATAATTGATCCAGAGCAAAACACCAACAACTCTTCCTCTTGGGAAAGCATCCGCAGCCCGAGGGGTTGGGTACCACCTTCCCCTCCCAGGGCTCTGCATCACTCCCTCCGCTCAGCCATCACTCATTTTGGGGAAGAACGAACGCAGGAGGCTCTGGAGCCATCCCGTTTTCCTTTTGGAATGGAGGGATGTGCTCTCTCTCTCCCAAACATCCCTCCAGCCCAGCGCGGGGCCGCGTTTACCTTTGTCGCCCAGGATGCCGTCTATGCTGTGCTTGGCCTTTTTCTCCCCATCTTCCTCCTTCTTGTCACAGTCCTCCTCTTCCTCTTTCTTCCCGAATTTGATGCGTAGCACACGGCTAATCGAACTCACTAAACCTCAGACAGTCAAAGACAAAAAGGCAAGTATAAGCTGCCTGGGAAACAAAGTGGGAATCAGCCAGGAAAAGCCAAGCTGGGGATGCCTGACATGGGGAGGAGGTTTTGTGCACCCACAAAAGGCATCTGCACCCCTTTTTCCCCAGGGATGCACACCTGCCTGGTCCTCTGTACCCTCCAAAACCCCCTGAGCTGCGCCAAGGTGGACACCCAAAGTTGGATGTACTCATCGCTGTCCCCCTGAGATACCCAGCAGAAGTGGCACTCGGTTGTGGGCAACACCCCACAGAGCATCCCAGCTGGTGTAGCACCCCAGGGTGTGCACCCCAAGGGTTACCACCTGCTTTGTGACAGGGAAAAGGCCCCCCAATATGTGGCTTTCATCCCAGCTCCAAATGGGATCCCAAAACCTGGATTCAGCCTCAGGCCCTGTCCTGCTTTGGGGGAGATGTGGCCTGTGGAGAAGGCTCAGCCCCCCCAAAACCAGATGAGAAATCACAGCCAGGACCTAAATAGTTCACCAGATCCTAAGCACATCCCTGCAGGCCAAATATTGGGCTACAAACTCGCTTTCCATGGACAATTGGGATCTCTGGCTGGTGCAAACGTTGCACTGCAGCCCCCACTGAGCAAGTCCCACAGGACAACTGGGGTCCCCCTTTAACCCTGGATTTGGGGGTTGCCTCCATCCATGCTCCCTCTGCACCAGCATCCCTCCAGCATTCAAGGGAGCTGGACTAAACTGGGAAAATTGAATGGTTTGTGGTTTTGCAGCAGACCTCAGCACTGCCAGGGCACACACACCCCCCCCCCCCCC